TCATTTCCATTATTTATAAAATGACTCAATCTCACTTGCTTTATTTACTTATTTGTTTGGTAGTTTCATGAAAATTGTGTGTATGATGTGTGCAAGTCACAACCTGTGTGGAGGTCCGAGATAATTCAGGCTTGTGTAGCTAGCTAGCACTTTTACCCACCAACCCATCTCCATGGAAACTATGTGTTAGCTCTTTTTGTTGTTGTTTTCGAGACAGGGTTTCTCTGTGTAACAGCCCTGACTGTCCTGGAATTCAGTCTGTAAACACACTGGCCTTGAACTCAGAGACCAGCCTGCCTCTGCCTCCCGAGTGCTAGGATTAAAGGCGTGTACCACCATCCCCAGCTTCTTTTGTTTTTTTTGTTTTTGTTTTTGTTGTTTTTCGAGACAGGGTTTCTCTGCGTAGCTTTGTGCCTTTCCTGGAACTCACTCTGTAGACCAGGCTGGCCTCGAACTCACAGAGATCTGCCTGCCTCTGCCTCCCGAGTGCTAGGATTAAAGGCGTGTACCACCATCCCCAGCTTCTTTTGTCTTTTTGAGATAAGGTTTCACTATAGAGCCCAGGCTGGCCTTAAACTTCTGGGCTGTCCTCTTGCCCCTGCCTCTGTCTTAGTCAGGGTTTCTATTGCTTTGACGAAACACCATGACCAAAAGAGCAAGTTGGGGAGGAAAGGGTTTAGTCTTCTTACGCTTCCATGTCACTGTTCATCACTGAAGGAAGTCAGGACAGGAGGCAGGAGCTGATGCAAAGGCCATAGAGAATAAAGTGCTGCTTACTGGCTTGCTCTCCTTGGCTTGCTCAGCTTTTTTATAGAACCCAGGACCACCAGCCCAGGAATGGCACCACCCACAATGGGGTGGGCCTCCCCCATCAATCATCAATTAAGGAAATACTCTAAAGGTTTGCCTGCAGCCTAGTCTTATGTAGGCATTTTCTCAATTGAGGTTCCCTCCTCTCAGATGACTGTAGTTTGTGTCAAGTTGACATAAATCTGGCCAGCACAGCCTTCCAAGGGCTGGCATTACACATGTGTACAAAAACTATACCCTGCTTTTTTTTCCCCTAAAGATTTACTTGTGTGTGTGTGTGTGTGTGTGTGTGTGTGTGTGTGTGTGTGTGTGTGTACATGCATGCAGGTGACAGTGGAGAGCAGAAGGGGGTTGTGTGTCACCCCAAAAGTGCTAGGAACTGGACTTGGATTTTCTGCTAAAGTATTATAGTTTTAATTAATAAGCCATTTCTCCAGCACCCACATCTAACTTTCTATTTATTTATTTATTTATTTATTTATTTATAATAACAGCTCAAGGGTCTGGAGAGATGGCTCAGTGGTTAAGAGCATTTTTCGTTCTTGTAGGTAACACAGGTTTGATTTCCAGCACCCACATAGTAGCTCACAATCATCTGTAATCCCAATTCTAGGGGCTCCAACAGGCACTCATGTGGTACACTTATGTGCATGCAGGCAAAATATTCATATATATATATAAAGTAAAATCAATAAAAAAATAAGTAACAGCACAAATACATTTAGAGGTAAGTTGGTATTGAGAGTAGACTGTTTCTAACAAATATCTGAAAATGGAGAGCCAGCTACAGAAGTGGGCGATGGGGAGAGGCTGGAAGAGTTGGGAGGCACACACTAGACCAAGCCTAGCTTGCTGGGAATGGAGTGCTAAAGGGCAATTCTGGGCGAGGGTGTCTCTGGTGTCTAAACCTTGGACATTGCCTAAGTGGTTGTAATCAGAATGCTGGTAGCAAAGTTGGCAGGAAAAGGTATTTTGATGAGGTCTCAGATGGAAATGAAGAACAAGGTGCCGGGGACTGGAGCAAAGAGCGCTTTGTTATAAAGTGACAAAGAACCTGGCTGAATTGTGTCTTTGCCCTAATGCTTCATGTAAGGCAGGATTTACAAGCAATCAGTCAGATTGTCTTTTTTATATTTATGCACATGTATAGTATGCATTGTGTGTGTGTGTGTGAAAGCACATGTGCAGAGGTCAGAAGACTGTGGAGGTCAGTCTCTTTGTCTACATGGGTCGGAGGGATCCAACGCAGGTTGTCAGGCTTGGTGGTAAGCCGATTTACCCATCCAGCCATTTGCCAGCCTCAACTAGAGTATTTGGTGAAAGAAATATCTAAACAAAGTACTGAGGAGGTTTACATGGCTTCTTTTTTTTTATTTTTGTTTTTTGTTTGCTTTTTTTGAGACAGGCAGGGTCTCTTCTATGTAGATAGCCCCGGCTGGACTGTAACAGGCTGGCCTCAGACACAAGAGATCTGCCTGCCTCTGTCTCCTGAATGTTGAGATTAAAGGCATGTGCCACACTGCCAGGCTGCATGGCTACTTTTGACGACTTATGTGTAAAATGTGAGAAAACAAGAGCACATTAAAGATGGACTTTATAACTAAGAAGGCAACAGAACTTGACGAGGCTGTAAAAGTCAGCTGGGAGGATACTAGGGGTGTGGTCCAAGCAATCGTTTCATGAGGAGGGTTAGTGTGGCTAGGATGAGGGCAGAGGAGGAACCCTGGTGAGGCATTTAAGACATCTTCCAGGCTGCTAGCCCTAGCATAGGCTGAGAGAGCTATGGCCTTGAGCACAGAATAGTTAAGGGTCACTGCCCAGGACCGCCTCATCTCTACCCACATTCCAATGCAGCACTCCGGCCACCCAGGCTGGGACTCCAACGGGCCCAGGAGTGGCTCGGTTGCGACCCCTTTGAAAGCACATAAACACTGGCAGTGTTCTGTAGGGCCAGCTCTTTAGGTATGCACAGAGCAAGAGCCTGGAGATGCTGCTTCACCCTACATTTCAAAAGCTGTCCCCCGACAGCTTTGAGGCCCATGCAGAGAGCTTTCCTAGGGCTAAGGCACTCAGGAGAGCAGGGAGGCTGGGGCCACCACAGACAGGCTCTGTGTCTGGAGGGGTAATAGAGGCTGGGAGAGACACAGCGCTCAACTCCAAGCAGCTGCTCTCTGAGAAGCTGTGGAGGTGGGGTTGCCCAGGGCCTAACCTCTGCTCCAGTGTGTCTGGAAAGTAGGACAGACGGTCAAGGATCATTTCCTAGCCTCGTTCTCAAGGTTTAAGGTTATTTTCTTTCTGGGTTTTAGATCTACTTAAGAGCTGTTACCTAGTCCTTCTGGCCCATTGCTACTGTTTGGAATGGGAAAGTGTCTATTCTCTACTTGCCTTAGGATGAATTGTACCTCCAGCACCATCTGATTTAGGCTGCATTTGGATGAGACTTTGCACGTGGTTTGAAGGTGATTAGTGCAAGTTGAGATGCTAGGGACTGCTGGGATGGAACGAAGGTATCTCCCATGGGAGAAGGCTACAGATATTTTTTCTTTTTTTTTCGAGACAGGGTTTCTCTGTGTAGTTTTGGTGCCTGTCCTGGATCTTACTCAAAGGCTACAGATTTTGGAGGATCAGGAATGGAATATTATGGTTTGAATGTTTGTGTTTTCTCCAAAATTCATGCTTAAACTTAATTCCCATTACAATATTAAGAGATGAGGCCTTGAGGGGATTAGGCTGTGATTTACCAATCATTAATGGCTTAGGGCTTCATAAAAGGGCTTGAGGTAGCAAGTGCATCTCTCTGCTGCCTTTTTACCTATGAAGTCACAGTCCTCATCACCTCTGGAAGATGTAGCCCTCCCTGGATGTCAACCCTCCCTTATCTTGAACTTGAACTTGACAGCTGTGAGCACTTAGAGCAATAAATTTATATTATTTGTAGGTTATCCAGGCTCCCGCTTTTCTTTTGTGAAACAGGTTCTCACTATATAACCCAGGTTGGCTTTCAACTTGGAATCCGCCTGCCTCACCTCGAAGGTGCTAAGATCACAGGTACATGTCACTCTACCCAACTCTAGCCTCAAGTGTTTTATTACAGCAGCAAGAGCGGACAGTGGACAGAGACCACGGAGGCTCAGCCTCTATCTTGAAACATATGGGCACTGAGAATGCTGTGTCTGAGGGGAGACACACAAACGGATCCTTTCCTCTGCTTGGAAATTATACATGGCACTTCTTTCATAGGCCATAAGCCAGCTATAGTCACATGATCCTAACCTAACTGCAAGAGAGGTTGTGGGAAGCAAGGAGAAAGAACTCACGGCACAGCCCTGGCTGGCCTGGGACTCACAAAGACTAGCCTGCTTTTGCTGGGGTCAAAGCAGTGCTCCACCACGCCTGGTCTTACTGACATTTCCAGATACCTAGGGAAGTGCTCGACAATGATTGAGTCAACAGTCAATGAATTAATGGATTTTCTCTTTCAGTTATGAGTCTATTCTAAGAAATTTCTAACTAGAACGAGATATTCAATGATATAGTAGTGTCTCAGACCTGTAATCTCAGCACTCAAGAGGCTGAGGCAGGGGGATTACTGAGAACTCAAGGGCAGCTTGGACTACACAGTGGCTCTCAGGCCAGTCTGGGCTATAGAGTAAGATATTGTTGCAACAACAACAACAAAAAAAATGAATGGGTTTAGGTCAATATTTCAGGAACATCTAGAGTTAGTAGGTTATTTTAGTAAAAGTTTATTGAAGTTAGTGAACTCAGTATCAATCACAACTACAGATTATATGAATATTTTCATATGGTTTGTTCCTGTTTTTACTGTGACCCTTCCTTCTCTTCCCAGCATCCACCTCCTCTTGTAGAATATTACTTTAACTATATAAAGATGTGTTACATTTGTTTATGCTGCATTTGTTTAATGATGTAGAGATGTGTTGCTTTGCCTGCCTAAGGCACCTGATTGGTCTAATAAAAAGCTGAATGGCCAATAGCTAGGCAGTAGAGGGATAGCTGTGAGAATAAGTAGGAGGAGGAATCTAGGCTGGAGAGAAGAGAGAAGGGAAGAGGAAGAGAGGGAGATGCCTGGGGCCAGCCAGCCAGGCAGGCAGCTGCCAGGCAAACAGACACGGAGTAGGACATACAGAATGAAGGAAAGGTTAGAAGCCCCAAGGCAGAATGTAGATAAAGAGAAACAGGTTAAATCAAGTTATAAGAGCTAGTGGGACAAGCCTAAGCTAAGGCCTAGTATTCATAACTAATAAGTCTCTGTGTCATGACTTGGGAGCTGGTTGGTGGCCCCAAAGGAAGCCTAATGAAAGGCTGTTCCCAGTGAGGTTGTACAGGTGGGGGTAGCCAGCGATTTCTGTTTTCATATAAAAACAGACCACAGTCTTCTAAGACATGGTTGCTTACTTAAAGAGAATTAGGAACAGTTCTCGTGACAGGAGAATTGAGGTCGTATTGATGCAGAGATGGAAGGAACAGCCAAGGCTGGAAGAGCCACCCAACAAGCAGGATTCCGTTTGGCTCTTGCTCAATACCTGTTCTTAATTTCCCCTGCATGATTAGCGCGGCACAGGGAGTTCAGGAGTGGGCTTCTCGACAAAGGAATCTCAACGTGATTATGAGATATAATTGATCACTCATTTATCCAGCCGACGAGCTTGGTGATGCACGGTCCGTGGCGCTGGAGAGCCAAGGTGCAGGAGCGAGGCACAACTTCACCCCTCATGGAACTCACAATCTGATAGCGAGGATAAATATAGAACAGGTCTTAGGAAATAAGCATAACATCGGTTGTAAAGACCAAGACTAGTGCTACTAGGGTGACGGAGGGAGCCGTGCTCATTTTGAGCAGTGGGGTCCGGAAAGATCTCTTCAAAGTACTTAACGTTTCTCAACTCAAATTCAAAAAAGGGGGACTGAGTGATGGAAAAGCGAAGGGAAGAGAACTCAAGGCTGGAGGAAAGAGCCTGTTCCCCAGTCCATTAATTCACGCAGGGCTGCGGGTTTAACTGAACAACTGGGGAAGCTGTAGACGCAAACGGCGTGTTCCGAGTATATTGATGCACAGAGTTTAATGGGAACCTCAGACTGCCCTTGTAACTGCTCAGGGCACTGCAGGCAAGTCTCTCCTAAGGTAAATCTTCCTTCACGACTCAAGCTGTAGGTGAGCCAGTTATTCTTATAACCCCACCAGACACATCAAACAACCATGAAAGAGGCTGAAGAGATATCACTTTACAGACTGCTTCAAAGCACGCAGGATGAGAACAGAGAGCCCCAGATGACTCGCATGCAGGAAGAGGGTGGGGCCTAGTGGCTGAGGGGAGAGCCAAGCTCTAAAAGCAGCTGCCTATGACATTTCCGTCAGCAGCCTTCGCTTGCTCATTGTGTATGAGACACACATCAGATGTCCTGGTTTATGATTTCATCTTCAGTACCTACCCTCTGAGACCCAAGCTCATGTATCTCTTCCACTGGCTGGCGACTGCTCATTAACTGGGATCTAAGGTCCATCTAAAAGTGGCAACGACATTTAGACCCCTTTCAACATTAGGAAACCTGTGGATCGGTTGAGTTTCAGATGTCAGGTGCTTCGTCTCTGTATCTGCTAAAAAGTAAGAAAGTATAAGCTATCAAAAAAAAAAAAAAAATCCCACACAGGTGCCAGAGTCCTATCAGAGTATAAGGTCACACGCCACACACTGTCACTGTCTCCCCAGGTCAGAGGACAGTATTGCTCTCTTTTGGAAGACACATTAGAAGCCAACACTTGGAGGTCCCAAGCAGCACTGCTCTGTCTACAAGGGAGACTTGGACTTGGGTTTACTCTTCTAGACAAATTAAAAGTATTAGAATCTCTTGTTTCTTAAGGGAGATAATAGAGTGGAGCACCTACAAGGTTTCACTTCTTTGACTCCGTTTCTCTGAGGTGTAAATTAAAAGGCATGGTTGAAATTCACTTGGTCTCCTCCGTATCTGTTAAAGCTCTCAGTATTCCGGTCATTTTAAAACATACTACTTACCAGGCAGTGGTGGTGCACACCTTTAATCCCAACACTCAGGAGGCAGAGGCAGGAGTATTTCTGTGAGTTAGAGACCAACCTGGTCTATAGAGCGAGATCCAGGACAGCCAAGGATGTTACACAGAGAAACCTTGTCTTGAAAAACTACAACCAACCAAACAAAAAAACATCTGTATTTCCAATTCTATGGGATCCAACACCCTCTTCTCAATAGACATATGCATGTACATATATGTGCTGGCAAAACAGTCATACATATAAAATAACAATTCTTTAAAATACACATACACTCACCTGGGCTGGAATAAAGCTCAATGGTAGAATGCTTGCCTACCATGCATGAGACTCTAAGGTCAATTCTCAGCACTGCAAAAATATAATAATAAAGAAGTAAGTATAGTACAAATGTATACACACAACTTTGGAGATTTATGTTAAGTATTGGTGTTGGAATCTGGAACTTCCAAAATTGCTCAGTCATGTAAGCTCTCTGATTATATCCCCAAATTGTCTCATGCAAACTATGATAACTATAGTAAATACCAAAGTGTTTCCTTTTTAAAGAGCAAAATCGTAACCATGACAACAATCTGTTCACATCTAAATGACAGCAGCAAAGCTTTGCCATCAGTTGACCACATTCAAATGAATTTTGTGTCAGGAATCTTTTCATAGCCAGACATTAGACCTAGTTCTAGGTCATTTGGATTATAGATTGAATTGGAAGAAGCATGCTAAAATTAAAAGTCACATCAGAACTGGTTAGTCTACATTATTTCCCCATCTCCCAAAATGTATGTCTGACGTGGTAACTATTTAGTTCACGGCAAAACAAGCCATGGTGAACTCGTTTTGTCCACAAGCGTTCAGAGAAAACCTGCTACATGCGTTGTACTGCTAAGACACTAATTCAGCCCTATGAGGTACAAGTGAGCACAGAGTCACATAGCAGAGGGCAGAGTCAGCTTCGTGATGGGAGCTCAAGGAATAAATGCTGGTTGAATGACTAAATCTATCAAAAAATGCACCTGATGTTCCTTACTGGTTGTTTTTCTTCTTCACATTTATTCTCTGTGTGTAATGTGCGTAGGCATGCATGTGCCATGGACTTGTGTTCTCTCCTCCCATCATGAAGGTCCCAAGGATGGAAATCAGCCTTGGCAGCAAGCACCTTTACCCCCTGAGTCATCTCACTGGCTCTGAGAAGTGAATGTTTATTTCTCGTAGTCTCTGTACTCAGGGATATTAACAGCAAGCAGAGGGAGATATTAGCGGATGATATTCAAACCAGCATCAGGAGGCTCTGTTTTCAAATGGGCTGTTTTGCCTATAACCATAAAGCATGTACTTTATTCTTTCTCTTTCTCCAAATATCAATTCAGAACAGAAAGCTGTGTTCCAACGTTACTCAAAAGTTGCTGTTTTTATCTTCAAGTTTTCTGCGCCTCTTTCAGAGTCACCGCTGCTGTTGCCAGCCACCGCATTATACAGAGTAGGAAGGAAAAGCGGATGAGCTAAAGATCCTGGGAATTCAACAGTTTGCTTGTTTGGGTGGAAGCCCTGCCCTGTATGGCCTTGGATAAACTCAAGCTTTTCCATCTGTATAGTAACAGAACCTGGTTACAGTGTTTCCAACCCACCCTCTAGCTTATTGTTCTGGGATTTCATCCTTGTTTTTGCATATATATGTGAAACAATTATTCACGCCTAGGTTTTCTTTCTTTCTCTCTCTCTCTCTCTTTCTTTCCCTCTTTCTTTTTTCCTCTCTTTTTTCTTTTTTTTCAGACAAAGTCTCACCATGTAGCCTTCCTTGCCTGGCCTTGAATTTACAGAGGCCCCACTACCTCTGCTTCCAGAGTGCTGAAATTAAAGGCATGCGCCATCATACACAGTATTTTTAAAAAACCATTTACCACAGATACTTACCATAAAATGATCATCTCTGTAGAATGTCTACCTTTTCCCCATCAGGTAGTCATGGTACCACTTAAAAAATTACAAATAAACAAGAGCTAACCAACCAACCAGACAGGCTTAGTGGTGCACACATGTAATTCCAGCATGTGGGAGATAGAAGTGGAAGGGTCAGCAATCCAAGGTTATCCTGAGCTATACCGTCAATTCAAGGCCAGTCTGGGCTATATGAGATCCTATTTGGGGTGGGGTAGGGGAGCCAACAAGTTACCAAAGAAACACAAATAAAAACAAAGTAAACTTTGTCTGCAGCCCTACCACTAAAAAAAAAAAAAACCTTCAAATTTTTAGAATGTGCTTTTGTGCCCAAACTTTAATGAATATCTTCTTTTCAATTTTTTTCTTTTTTTCTTTTTGAGCTGAGGACCAAACCCAGGGCCTTGTGCTTGCTAGGCAAGACTTCTTTTCAATTTTTAAAAATTGTGTGTGTGTGCGTGTGCAAAAGTATGTGCACATTTGAGTGCCTGTATCGTCCAGAAGAGGGGGTCAGATTCCCTGGTGGTGGCGTTGTAAACAGTTGTCAGTCTCCACGTGTGGGTACTGAGAACCAAACTCCACTCTTTTAGGGTCTCACTATGTAGCCCTGGCTGTCCTGGAACTCACTATGTAGACCAGGTTCCCTGGCCTCAAACTCACAGAGATCTGCACCCCTCTCCCACACACTACTGTGTGATACAATTCTTGGAGAATGTAAACAGATATATACTCACCCCGGATTGGGAACCAACGACAGAGCAAAGAATACTACCAAAGTTCAGTTTGGTGAACCAAGGGGTTGTGGGTGAGGGGTCACTTACAGGAGCAAAAACCGACTCCCAGACAGCTGCACCACCGAAGCCTACCTCAGCATGGGTGACTGCTCACAAAGCTGGGAATGTAAGCTCGCTGCACAGCTCTCAGGCACCTCAGAGGCTTAGAGAGTGTCTCCTAGGTAGACTAGTTGGCCTGGTTCTCTTCCAGCCATCTCCACTGCTCTGATCCTCTTTCAGGCAATTCAACTTGTCTGTCTCTCAACCATCCTCTCACTGTTTCTGTGAGCTTGGAGAGGGAGGGGGCTGGTTAATCTGGTCAGTTTCAGGGATTTCCTGAATCTAATGAGTTGTAGCCCAGGCTGACCTTGAATTCACAGACATCCAACTGCCTCTGCCTCCTGAGTGCTAGGATTAAAGGCGTGTGCCACCACCGCCAAGTTTAAAATACATTTTTTTCTAACTTTATGTGTCCTGATGTTTTGTCTGTATGGTTATCTGTGTACCGTTGTAGGCCTGGTACCCTTGGAGGCCAGAAGGCATTGGATTCCTGGAACTGGTGTTACAGATGGTTGTTAGCTACTATGTGGGTGTTGGGAATTGAACCCAAGTCTTCTGGAAAAGCGGCCAATGCTCTTAACTGCTTAGCCATTTCTCCGTCAATTGTTCCCCAATTTATTTTTTAAGGTGTGGTAGTGATGGTGGTAAAGTCTGAATTGGGGGAGGGAAGCCAACTTCAAGATCTCATTTTATAGCCTAGGATGGCCTGGAACTCACTATGTAGCTTCAGGCTGATGGCTTCCCAAGCATTGGAACTATATGCACACAGGTGATGATACAGGCTGAGGCCTTTTTTTTTTTTAAAAAAAAACAAAAAAAAACAAAGTGGTGTTGGCACATAACTTTAATCCCAGCTCTTGGGAGGCAGAGGCAGGTGGATCTCTGAGTTCCAGGCCAGTCTGGTCTACAGAATAAGTTCCAGGACAGCCCTGGCTGTCCCAGAACTCAATATGTAGACCAGGCTGATTTGAACTCACAGCCATCCACCTGTGTCCACTCCCCACCCCCACCCAGTGCTGAGATTAAAGGCCTATGTATACTACCATCCTGAGCCAGAATCAAGGCTTCTATGAATAATTTCTTTATATTTTCTTTCCTCGTGTTTTATAAGCAAAGCACCTGCCTGTGGTGTGTTCTGATCAAGCCTTGGAGCTGGGAGGGATCTACAAAGTTGTTATCTCCTTGATGTCAAAACATTAAAGAGAAACACTAGAATTCTAATTATTCTGGATAGGGAGGTAGAGATTAAATTGCTGGAATTATTGCTGCATAGACTGTCAGATAAGAGTGCTTTCCCACTGAGCAGTTCTAGGTAAACTGTATCCAAAAGCGCCTGGCACAGAGGCATTGCTAACTATTAACTGCTGTGTGTCCTCCCTGTACGACACTGAACCCAACACTTGGAAGTAACCAACGAGTATTTAGTAACTACACAACTACACACCTACAGCTGTAGAAATCAGTGATAGGCTTTTAGAGAGAGAGAGAGAGAGAGAGAAGCGTTAAACTGTTAGAGAAAACAGTTTTTGGGTTTTTTGGTTTGGTTTTTCGAGACAGGGTTTCCCTATGTAGTTTTGGTGCCTGTCCTAGATCTCGCTCTGTAGACCAGGCTGGCCTTGAACTCACAGAGATCCCCCTGGCTCTGCCTCCTGAATCAAAGGTTGAGGAAAGTTCATAGCCCATAATCCAGTTGCCTAAAGGCCTTGCTTCCTGGGAATGTCTTTAGCCTTCATCCATACCTTCCTCCATTTCTGAATGTCTTTATTTCTTGGATGATTTCCAGATGATAGCCACCACAGAGAAGGAAATGGAATCATACTATAGTTGTACTGGATAATCGAGATGTGGAAAGTGTCCTCTGTCTCTGGTTTTCAAGACAGGGTTTCTCTGTGTTACAGCCCTGGCTGTTCTGGAACTCACTTTGTAGACCAGGCTCTTCCATAGTGGGTTAAAACTGTCCTGCACTCTTTCAGAAAAGGAGCAAAAAGGCTATGTTAGAAAATAATCAGTTTCTAGCTGAGGTTATTTTAGAAAGACCAGCTTTCTAAATTGGCAGGAAATCATTCTTTTTGTTTTTGTTTTTTGTTTTTTTCCGAGACAGGGTTTCTCTGTGTAGCTTTGTGCCTTTCCTGGATCTGGCTCTGTAGACCAGGCTGGCCTCGAACTCACAGAGATCCGCCTG